CATGTCATGCATAAAATAAATGGATAAAATTATGCAGCTACGAGATGAATGGGTACTTGTCTGGATGAACTGGTGGCTGGAATATGTATGAGATGGAGAAGGGGGCGTACCTTCCAGTAAGGTCAGAGGGAGCCCAGGATGTTGGGGGGATAAGACAGGGATTCAGTGTGCACCCTAACTGGAAACACACCCCAATTTTGGAATTCTACTGTCATTTTCAGAACTTCAGGAGCCTGGACCCAGAGGTGTGTTGTCCAATGGCCAGCTTAAAGCTGCTGAAGGGTCCCTTTGCTCACGAGGAATCCATATTCCTCCAGTAGGCACCTCTGCACCTGGGGGCTGTCTGAGCTTGCACCTCTTGGGCGCTGTACTTTCTATGAGAAGGTGACCTCTTGAATCCACCCCAGTTCAGAGAAAAGAGGACCCAGGTCTTGAAAGCACAGGTCAGTGAGTGTCTTCTTCACAGTGCCCACTCCTTGGAGCACCTCGGGCGACCCTGGCCTGGCCCCAGGCTGCTGCTCTGTGATGGTTGGCTCTGGGACACCCAGGTCCTCCTTCAAAGAGGGTTTTTCTGGGGCAGTGGGGCAACACGGGTGGGGCCCACTGGGGCATGTGTGCTCCCCAGAGATGCACCCAAAATTCCCCTGCTGGGGAACCTGGGGCAAACGTGGTCTCCAGCAGTGCTGCTGGAGAAGGTACTGTGACACAGGGACTTCATATTTTGCCAGCGCTGAGCAAGGCGAGGAACTGGGGAGGATGGCACTTGTCCAGGGAATGGGAGATGTTGTGATCTGGCAAGGCATTTGGGTGTCTGCGTCTCCTTGCCAATCGCTCCCATTCATGGCTCTTTTACCCAGCACCTGTCACAGTGAAGGATTCTGCCATCGCTTCACAGGTCCTCTTTATGCCGAAATGATTTCTGCTCTGTCCAGATGGTTCCCTTCTGGACAGAGTTTTCACCAATCCCCACCCCACACCTCAGCAGTCCTCCTGTCCCTTTCACGGTGACATGAGGGGCCTGCGTGCCACCCTTGCTGCTTTCGTCCCCTGCCCATTGACCAGAGCTGCACCTGCCTCCGTTTCAGCTTGTCCTGCTCTTTTGGGTGTGTGGGCGGCCATTTTGCCTTGAGGGAAGGTGGCCCCACAGTAGGCAGACATGTACGATGCTCAGAAATGTTCTTGCTGTTGATGTGGCACGTGGACCATTGGCCCCTCCTGGATCATTTTGGACCGTGAGGAATGGCTCTTTGATGCATCACCTGGGACCCAGGCTGTGCACAACCAGCATTGCCGTTTCCACTTGTTCCTCCTCCCTCCAACCCTTTCCAGCTTGGAATGGTTTTGCTATGTAAGCCAGGGCTGCCCCTGGACTATTCTGCATCTTCCATTACCCTCCACCGCAGAGGTGGCAGACGTGGCTCATGGGGACACGTGCCTTGTCCAGAAGAAGATGAGCAGCTTCTGGGGAGGAGAATTTGGCATCCCACCTCTTCTTGCAGCAACTTCTCTGCTTCGGTGGCACATTTGGTGATGTGGTCCCCGGCTGGGGGACGGTTGGTCTTGTGACAACAGAAATTGTCTGCCCACTGAGTATTAGAACAGCCTCCCTGAACTTGATGCTCCACTATTTAGAGTTCCAGCTCCCATCATTCCCAGCCCACCTGGCCAAAATTGTCAAATGCTAGGAGTTGAAGTAAGTTGTAACCTGGCACGATTGAGGGGCAGCAGGTTGGGAAAAGTGGCGGTGACACTAAGAACATAACAGTAACTCTGTTTAGGCACTCGGGGAACATGTGTGGGGATCCGTTATGGTGGAGCTCCATGCACCAACCCTGCCACTGATGCCCTGATTCCTGCTGGCTCCATCCCAGACCCGTCTGTGTTGACCAGGCAGGTCTGAAGAGGCATTTAGCTGAACTTCGCCACCATGGAACACTTTGCTCCTATATTCTTTGCATGGGCAAAAGGAACAGGTGAGATGAGTCGTCCAATTTGTCAAACTTCCTGCTTCCCCCTTGCAGGAAGCTCGAAAGCAGAGCTCAAGGCATGGACTCTGTTCTGCTGCATCTCCAGACCATGGCAATTTGTTCAGTGGGACATCCTCTCTGAATGTATGAATTCCAGATCACTCTCCGTGTTCATTCTTCCATAAATGTGCCCGATCCCCTCTTGGAGTCCTCTAAACCAGGGATTGTCTTCAAACTCAGTGCCCCTGGATTTCCAGATACTAGTTGCATGTTGTGTGGATAAAATGAGTCCTTTCCTTTGAGTGATCCTGAGTCCTAATTTGACGAGGGAGCGAGCTGTGGACACCGAATCAGCTGAGAATGACAAGGGTGCTTTTGGATTTGAATGAATGCCTTAGATAGAGGGTGAGGATTTATGGACTGGCAAATGAACTGACAATCTGCAGGAGGGGAGAGGGACATTCAGGCGCCACATGGGTGTGGTGGTAATTTTGCACCACATGCACAAATCAACACCCTCTGTATAAATTTGCACCAATTGTAGAGTGAAGGCCTGAACATTATGCAAATTTTCTTTGCTTTTTTCCCTCCAGACAGTGATTCTAAAAACAGGCTGCCTTGCTTGCAACAAATCGAACTGTTTTCGGTAGAAGCTTGGCAGAGTAGAGTCCATGTGGCCAAATCTAAATGATCAGTCAGGTTTTCAGCCTCCTGTCATTGTCCTCGCACATCCCCAATCCATCACGCTGATGGAGGAACAGCAGTGGAAGAATAGATACAGAAGACATCTCTCTTTGGAAGCTCTTGGTGTGTTCTTCACTCTCTGAATTCCCACAAACTTCAGGGAATGCCCACTATTTTCTCTGATTTGTGCTTGGAGATAACATGGCGGTTCTCCTGCCTGCAGCTAAGAGGGAGGAGTCTCCGTAGCTGTAGTGTACCAAGTGCTCTCCCAGCCCAAGTGCTTGGGGTGTGATGAATGGTACCCCTGTGCCACCTTGGCCAGGGAGTCTTTGGATAGCTCATGCTCTCCTCCACTGTGGGAATAAAGTGCACACCAAAGCTATGTGCAGAGGGGTGTCTCCTCTTCTCCCCACCTCTTGCTCATGCCCCTGAGAGGCTCTGGGGCCTGTGGCTTGGGAAGGGTTGTGGCTTGCAGAAGAATCTGGGTCTTTGCTATGTGGATGGAGAACCTCCATGAACTGGAGGTTCCCCATCCCTGATTTAGAGCCAGGAGGAGGAACCTAAAGGCTGCCCAGGAGGTGTCATCACAGTGGGTCTGCTGCCCCTCTCCTGCCCATGGGGTTATCAAGAGGGCCACCACTCCAGAGACTGGGAGAAAAGCCCTCTTCTGAGCTGTTGTTCAGAGTGTTGTGAGAACAGTCTTTGAAGAATGGCAGACCCATATTTCTGCACACACACAAAGGCGTGAGCCCATAAAACTGGGGAGAGAATGTAATAATTTAGCACATCTTTTGCGAAGTCTATCCCATTTAGTTTTTATTGGACACCCAATTCTGTGTCCGTCCCCCTTCCATTTACTATCTTGATGGGCATTCATGCTGCTGAATCCTTGCCGTGCCTGGTGACAGGACCTTGTGCTCCATAAATCAGTTCTTTTTGGTCCAGATCTCGAGTACTTGCTCTTGAGTGGTTCATTTGGTTCCCTGGAGGGTTTCGGGGGGAGAAGGCACTTTTATGGCACCTGTTCAAACCTTTGTGGAGTGTTCCAGCTCAAGAACAGGGTCTCTCTCTCGCTCCTCTCCTTTCCAGCCAAGAATAATTACATTGTTATTGAACTGTAGGGCAGAATGACAGCAAGGGCACTGAGGATCAGCAATTGCAAACCTGATTTCAGCCTGTTTTAACAGATCCGTTCTTCACTTAAATAACTCAGGATGAACTTTCAAGCTAAGAGGTTTGTTTGCTTTTCACCCCATGCTTCAAGATTTGCCTGCAAAATACCCAGAGATGACTCAATTTAATTTTGCAGGCAGACAGCGTTCCGTGAAAAGACAGAGCAGAACATGAATTCAAGTGGTAGGACAAGGGGCATTGTAGGTATGGACCTCGAAATCAGCAAATCTTGAGCGCATCCAAGTTTTCCAAATTCTATCTCAAAGCTCGCTGCAACTCAAGTCCGTATCATTTGCAAGCTTTGTTTTTCTTATCCCATGAAAATGTGTGTCTGTTTTCGTGCGTATTTTCCCAAAGGTACTCATGAGTTAGGCACATTTTTGTAATGTTTGCATTCTTCTCCAACAGGGGGAAAAATACTCGTGTGCAGTTTTTTTTTTTTTTGAAGGACACATGTTTTATGCATGTTTTCCAAATCTGTGCATTTTATCAAATGCATTTTATTGATCTGTGAATCACATTGGGACCTTAGACATTCTGAATAGTGGTGACTCCAAGGGCTGTAGGGATGGCTGAAGTCACAATCCTAGAAAAAAGTCCTACAACTCCCAGCATCCACTAGCCTACTAATTGGTGGACAACATGGTCCCAACCCAACAAGGCCGGTGAGGTTGGTGGCCCCATTTTTGAATTTGCAACGAAAGCGGAGAAACTCAAAGGTAGCCTGAGCCCATAGCCCTCTCCCTAAAGCTACTGGTTCTCCTTACACTGAAGGCTAGTAAGTATGCTGCTCTCCTTACTTTTCCTACTGAGTCCATCAATTCCTGCCCTGTAAATCACCAGTATTGAGCACCCGTGGCTGAATGGCCTTTTATTTTCCTGATCTCCCACCTTTTCACTTTCTTCCTCTCCATATGCAAGACTAACTTGTCCCATTCCAAGTGCATCGGTGTGGCCTAGTTTCCTGGGTCGTGCTAGCTTCTGGCTCCACTCACAGCCATTCCCGCTAGCACAACATATTTGCTGCTGGGGAAATGCCAGCACAGAATAAAATACGCTGCTAATTGAATTGCACACAAATTAATGATTGGATCTCTCTTTGAGAGACACATGAATGGTGTGAGTTATAGCCCGATGTATTAACAGTGTTCTCCCTGCTTCCTCCTTTCTCTCCAGCCACACAGATTGATCCCAACGAACTCCAGGAACTTTTCCAGGATGCATCTGCCGGCATCTTCCGAATTAATGCCAACGGTATGTATATCAATGTGCCACATGTTAATATGTTGAATGCATTGCATGTAACGTGTTGAGAAAACCCCTTTGTCATACGTTTCCCGGTACGGCACATGGATAGCCCCGTTTTAGACAAGGGAATAGTGGTGACGGTGCTAAATCTTCCAAGACGGGCTGCTGCAGTGGGGTGCACGCATGCCGCATGCCTTGTAGAGCCATTGGCAGGTTCTGGCCCGAGAACTGCCAAGTGCCTCCCTCCCGTGACTCTTGGAGCGCCCGACTGGAGCCAGAGCTTGGGCTACCCAGTGGTTTGCTCCGGCAAAACCTCATTAAAGGCTCCAACTTTGGATATGTTTATTGCAACCATAATTTCAGCTACCTATTTAGTTGTCAATTTAATTGTTTAGCTCATAGATGCCTGGCAAGATAAACATCTTATAAATAAATGAACTAAGAACACTAATAAAAAGTACAGTATATTATATCCAAGGAAGTAATTGCTGGAGAATATACTGTAGGGAGCAATCTAAACCTAGCCAGATGGAGGCTGGATATGCAAATAACGGTGTTTCTGTAATTTCGGTTATTAATGACTGGAAGTGATGGTGCAGTAGAACAGTGTGAAGTTCTAGTCCCTTGAGGTAAAGAGCAGCTCAGGTAATAACCCACCCAAATAATTCCACCTTGTTTCACTGGTTCTGGAGAGGTCCCAGTTACCATCTTGGAGTAATGGTGGCGATGGCCAACAGTTGCTTAGCAGGAGAAGAACGTTCAAATATAGAAAGATTCCTCCAGCAGGTTTATGCCCAAACCCACTTTCCTGGAATTCAGCTTGCTCTGTCCAGAGTGATGGTCTCTCTTGGGCTTGGGGCATGAACCGTGTGGCACCGTTGCCTCCTTCTGCTCAAGACTCAGGGGAAGATGACCAGTCACTTCCAAATCATTGGCCACGGACCAATTCCAGGGACTGAGTGGGGAGACTGAGAACCTGGGGTAAGGAGCCCCATGGTTAATGGGATCTTGCAGGGTTGGCCCCCATACTCTGCTTTTGAGCCACCCGTTTTGGGAAGCTGCCGGAGTTTTTCCTGAGGTCTGTGCTACACGAGTGCAAATGCGAAGAAAGCGTGAGGACAGAAGGTTATCGTGATGGTCTTCCTTTGAACGAACACATGTGTGTTCATTTCTTGCGTGAAAGAACAGAAGGGAACCTCTGTGACCATGCGAACACCTGCAACTGTTACGGCTGCACTTGAGGACGTTTGCAACTATTTTAGGGAACAGAGAGGGGCTCGGCACATTTCTCTTCTCCTTTATCTGCTAGCAAAGTTACAAGAGCTACAAGAGCTACATGGAAGCAGAGGGCTGTTCCCTCGGAGCAATCTTGAAAGACTAAAAACCAGGTCTATGGAATGATTATCTAGTGCACATCTGGAAAATACAGTCCCCAAAGCCTTCTCCTGTATCCTGGAGCCGTTCTTCCCCCAGACTGCAGTCCCTTTCTGTGGCAACAGTACTCAGGCATGCTTAATTGTTGTTCGGATCAACTCTGCTGGGGGCACGGTTGCAGAGCCTGCTTAGGGGGACCCCATACAATCGTTACCTTAACTGCTTCATGCACATGACAAAGGGGTGAAGAGTTCACCCTCATTACACTCCCGAACCGGGAACCGGCTAACTCAGGAAGGCAGGTTTGGGAAGCGCTCTGTGCTGTTCTTTTGGAAAGGGGCCAGCTCACTTGCTTAGACTGAAGGGGTTAGAAGGATGTCAAGGAAAGGCCACGCTGGGTGATGAAGCACGTGCCCTGCTGGTTGGAGGCACCAGGATCAGTCTGCAATATTTCCAGCTAAGGCTGGGAAAGACCCAGATCTGAAAAGCTGGACAGCTGATGTCCTGAGCCAGATCCATCCTTCCTTCCTTGCCTGCAGGCTCCGAAATGCAAGGTCATCCTTAACACTGCAGGTCTTGTTTGGCGCTTCACAGCTAATGCAACTCTAATAGCTGACTAATAAGCAGAAAAGGTAAGCCTGTGCTCATGGAAAGAGTGTTGAGGCCAAACTGGAGCCTTCTCCCCTGTCCTTTCCTTCCAGTAATGCTGTGGGCTCTACCTCTGGCCAGCAAGACCTATGCAAGCTTGCCAATTGGGTAGCTCACCTCTCTCAATGCCTCATTGTGAGGTTGGGGACCATGCAAGACAATGACTCTCCTCCTCTCTTGGCTCCCCTCCCATCTCTTCCAAAACAAATCTGCTCTCATGGTCAGCCTGGGAAACTGCAGACAGCAGCAGAGATGGGGCTTTTCTCCCCACTTTGATCCTGCTGCCCTCACATCACCCACTCCACTTCTTTTTCAGAATCTGATGGTGTATGCTCCTAGAATATCAGCCAAGAGTGAGTATTGGGCTGATTCGCTATGTCAGTGTAGATACCGCCTGAGCTAGGTCCGACTTGGTCCGGCTTCCTGTCCAAAGCTTCCTTTTATCCCAAACCACGAGGGTTTGCATCTTACTCCATTATTGTGCCAGATTTCTTCATTGCTTCGGGCAGTTCAGGTGCTTTGCATGCAACTGTCCCAGATTCAGCATCACCAGAAAGGGCCGGAAAGGAAGCTCTGATCTGAATCCCTGGAAAAATGCTGCCAGGCCGTGCCAATGGTGTGGAGCCAGGTGGACCAGTTGACTGACGCAGTAGCAGGGCAGCTGTCGCAAGCCCCCTTTCCTCCTGCTGACCATCACCAGCCTCAAACTGTTTCTTTTGCACAATACTCTTTATTGTTTCCAAATGTAAAACACCCAGACAAAGCTCTGTGCATGCACAAAGCAGTCTGTTGAACCCAATCTAGCAATTACTTTCCAAAACTCTCCTTATGAGCATGTTTGTGTCCTGACCCTCAGGGAGGGGTGCTGTGGAAGCAAGGACACCTCTTTTCCACATGCTGCTCATCTAATTGATAGCTGTATCTCTGTGCCATCCCCAGGGGCTCTCTGGCCCACCGCTGCATCTGCCCTTGAGCTGATCTCCTCCGCCTCCTCCCGCTGTTGCTTCTCAGGACCTTGAGCAACCTTCTGCTTGCCGATTCCACTGAAATATTCATCTTCCGAATCTGGATCAGAAAAAGAGGTGCAGCAGCACCACACAGTAACGCTTACCAAGACACTCATGCTTATTCTCCATAGCAGCTTGCTACGTTCCTTACCTTGGTCCTTGTGTCGTCTCTTCTGGTTCTGGAGCTCTGCATGTCCTGAAGGTGGACTCTGATTCAACTGTGCTTTACCCTCTTCAGGAGCAGCCCTGAGCATCACCTTCTGTGCCTTCCCAGCCTGAAGGCATGCCTCTCCCAAGACCTGATGGCAAGGGTGATTTCCCTGCTGCTCCTTCTGGCCATCAGCCGTGCAAGAGCTTGAGAATGCAGAAAAAGAGACTGGAGTTTTCAGAGCTGCTGGCAGAAACAAGACAGCCTTCCTGAGGCCTCACTTGGCCACAGTCCTCTGCTGAGACAACGGTTCTTGTCAGAGGAACTCCAGCCAGCTCTTGCAGGACACTATCCAAGGGCCTGATTTAACCAATGAATGACAGTGGGCAGGTGTGCACCATGTGAGTAGCCACGGTGTGGATGATTTGTTGTGTTGTCCAAACCCTGTCATGGTATTTCAGTGTGGTATGTTTGGTTTTTAGATCCTGCACTGGAAACAATGTTCTCCCCTATGGTTTCCACACTTTACCATAGTTTCTCTGATCCTCTGAGCCTGGGATTGTGGCCTCCATGATCCTACCACAGATTCCACCGGAGAGAGCAGAAGCTGCATGAGGAGCAGCATCAGCCATTCTGCACAAGACTGAATTGCAGGTGTGGAGGCTGCCTGGAAACCACTTAATCATCTGGCAGGACCGTCCAGGCCAAAAAACTGCCCACCATGGAACCCATGCAGGGTTGCATGGCATGATGTGGGAACCCACCCAGTGGTTGGGTTTGGATGACATGACGTGCCATGGTACTCTTTCATCATTGTTCATCTGAACCCAGCTCTGGTAGTTTTGTCTGCAGAAGCCACAATAAGGTAACCCTTGTTCTATGGTTTCTGCTTACCACAATTACTTGTTGCATTGTCTGCAACTGGCCAATGAGTGTCGTGCCTGTTTCCTCTGGGCCTCACACCTACCAAAAACGTATCACTGACCTTACAATTCCACCACTTCTACATATTCTGCCCTGTTTTTCTCCTCCAATTTTTGTACGCTGCGGGAGACAAATTCTCATAATTTGAGTGAGTTTGCCTCTGTGCTCATGCTCTTCTTTGACACTTACAATATGCTAATCACTGTGCTGTGGACTTTTCTGAAGGTCTAATTGTCCTCAGCATGTTTTTAGAAGCTGTCACATCTCATCTTGAAATGGACAATGTGTAGAGTTCAACTTCTCCTCCATTTGTGGAGGACATCAAGAGAGGCACAAACCAAAAAGAGGCTATCAGCACATCTGGGAAGGTTCCTCTTCACCAATTTCTTTCTTTACAAGATCTCAGTATCTTGTTCAAACATGGTCAGATCTTTCCATGAGTCAGACCCAGCTTCTGTAGTAGCCATTAAAACTGACCGAAAGTTATCTACCACACAGGTGGTGTAAAACACATCCTTTCATAGGAAACAAGCAAACTACCATGCATCTCTAAACATGAATGCATGTGTTGCCTCATGCAATGGATGTTTACAGAGCCATAAAAGTGGAGTACCCACTTAATTTTAAGACTTGACCGTCCTTTGCACATCCTGTTCTCCTTTATGTATATTGCGGAGAAAGAAATATCGATCAGCGAGAATGTAACAAGTTTAACAGCCCTAAGACATTTTGCAAACCATGTGGCAAATTCTACATAGTAGTTATTGCAAAGGCACTAGGAATTAACTCTTGGCAAGGAACTGCCAGGACTCTAACTGGATATGGAAAATTAGCATGGATATTGTTTTGGATAGGAAATTGCCAAGTCTGAGCTGACCGCTCATATTGATGCCAAACTTACGTTTGGGATGGAGCTGGAGTACGGGATGACAACTGGGGCAGATAGGCAGTGCTGCCATAAAACCAGACATTCATTCACTGAAAGGATGTATGTCTCACCTTTTGACTCACAAAGCCCTGGAGGCATCTTGTGAATGAATTGATTTAAAACACAATAAAAACATCAATAAAGGACTTTAAATAATGTAGCAGGAAACAGCGCTGTAAGAACAACAAAAAAGAGAGAAGCAGGAACCATGCAACCGAAGAAAAGGAATCACATATGCCTCTAAAAGCATCAGGTTACAGGAAAAAGTCTCCTAGTGCGCATGAATAAATGAGAATGAAGGTGCAAGGTGAGTCTGTCTGGAGCCCTGCGGTTTGAGCACCTGGGAAAAAGGGGCCACTCTCCATTTATTAGTCCTGAAAAGCACATCTCTCGTCCCTCTTCTAACTGTGCTCCAATATTGGGAAAACCTGGGATGCATTCCTGGCTATAATCAAGTCAGTGGCGAGATATCAGATTTTTGTAGCTCCCTGAACTGTTTTACTTTGCTAGGTGAAAGGGGGAATCAAATTGGGGGACTGGCAACTTATAGGGGAAGTATGAATAGCGGCAAGAAAGTGCATGGTTCAGAACTGGAAAGGAGAACAAACGTCAGGGTGGCTGCAAAGGGAGTGCAGACTTGCTTTGCATAGGACGCAGTCCTGCTGAGCTACAAGTGAGCCCCCAAAGTTGGAGGACCCCGTTCATCAAAGGCAGCGCACACAGAGTGGCAGAGGGAAGCTTCCCAGTTTTGCAGGCTGGCCATATTGGAGGAGGTGTGGAGGAGGCCGAAAGGCCGCCCTGTCTTGGATGCCGCAGCTGTTCTCCTCCTTGATCCCAGGCATGTTCTCTGGACACCCTTCATGAGTTGGCTGTATGTGAACTTGGAATGCACCTGGTCCGTTCTTTTCGTGCTGGCTGCAGGAGGGACGGAAGGGCTCCAGAGCTCTCACTCCCAACTCCAGGGATGAACTCTTGTCACACCATCAGACGATGGTCCTTCTCTGATTTCTGCAATGAAAACTGCAATGATGGCTGTCTATGTTCACAACTTATTTTCTGTCACGCATTGTTGTTGTTGATGCTGTTCTTACAACATCCTTTCTCCGGTGGCTAACTTAGGGATGGCCACACAAGTGCTGTTTTGGTTGGCTAGAAAGGGAAACCTGCCAGAATCGAGCCATGGTGGAACCAGACAGATGTACAAATCTCTCTCGAATTTCCTCCATAGACTTAAGCAGGGCAGTTTCTATGTATTGAGCAAATTTGGCATCTGGAACAAGAAGAGAAATTGTCTGCCTGGATACATGCTTGTGGTCACACTTGGAGTTTTGAAGGGGAGGTGATGACCTGTTTTGGGAGCGCAACAAGAACGAAATTCTCGTAGATAGCTAGCCACCCGAACAGGAAAGCTGTGGGTGATAAGAAAATGCCCTTAATTTTATCACAGTTGACAGATTCTTATGAAAGACAGTAACTCCCTAAATATACCTGGTCCAGGCACTGAGAAAATTCAGCTCAAATGTGGTTTCCGCTTTAGCCAAAGTTACCCAGGGTCTGTGAGACGCCATATGCTGCCTTCACTTTTAGCAAAGAGTGTTTTATTTCTGGTGGCGTCAGCTATGCATAATAATGAAGTTTTTGATTAAAGGAGATTCTTAAGGTGCGTTCAAAGTCTGTGTCTCTCCCTGCCTGTGATAGTCTCTCCTTCCTTCATTGTCAGCTCAACTCTGAATGTAACAAAGGACGGATTCTGCTCACAGCTACCTGCGCATTGCGTGTGTTTGAGGGAGAGATTTCTTTTAATAATTACAGGAGAGCTTCTGCTTTGCTTCAATCTTGTTCTAACCTTGCTGATTTCTGTGGGGTGATTCTGCACTTGGGTTGAGCTTTCTTTGTAACACTTTGATGCCCTGTGACTTGACTAATTCCCATTTATGGTACCATTCACCGCAGAAAGTAAACTGCCAAGGTAGTGATGATGTTTTCAAATAATCTGAAATTTATTTATTAATTAAAAGCTTTTCTAACCCATCCATGAAATATGCATGGAATAATCTGAAGGGGGGATTTATTGGGGCCCCATGCTTGCAAGTTAGGATCAGCCTTGGTGCCAAGTATCTTTATTATGGATTAAAATGAAGGACTCTGGGGAAAGAGCCATTGTGTGGCCTCAGGACAGCGTCTACAAAGATAGAGGATTCCCAGATCCGAAGTTGGAAAATTGTTCCGCATCAGAACCCACACTTGGATCTGCCTTTTCCCCTTGCAGCAGGTGTGGAAATTATGCTGGCTGCTTCCCCAAAGTTGCAAAAGGGCATTTCATGGGGTGGGAGGGAAGGGGCCCAAAGCCACCCAGATGGAAGGAATCGTGACGCCTCCTCGGCTTCCTTCCCTCCCATTCCAAAGTGGCACATTTAGACAGCCGGAATGGGCCGGCCAGCTGTTGAGTGGAACAGGCAGAAGACAAAGCTGATTTTTGCTTCCCGGCAGCGTGCATCCTAAACAAGGGAATGGGAATGTTCTAGAAGGGATGGAAGGCATTGAGGAGGAGGAGGAGGCAGAGCCATTGCCTTGCCTGGTTTCTGACTGCATGATGGGGCATCGGGAGAGACAAGCTGCCCAGTGAGAGCGCTTGTGCCAGGCTCACCGGCCGTCCCTTCAATGGGGGAAGCTGCCCTGAGGGTGACTCCAGAGCTACTGAAAGGGAAAGGTTTGGGCAAAAGTCCTCAGTTTGGGTTCAGCACTCCTTCTTAGTACGCACAGTGGCTTATCTTCCAGCTGACCAGAAAGCTTTTAGGGTTGCTTTGTCCTGAAGCTGCGAAGTGCCAGCAAAGATTGGCTCTGCAAAGAGGCTGGCGTCTTGGAGGCCAGGAGCGAGAGGGTGCAGCGTTTGGGATACGCACGGACACAACCAAGCACAGCGCACTTTAGAAGAGGTGCTACATGGATGCCCCATGCGTGGGAATTTTGCCGGTTTTGCCACTCGATTGATTGATGAAGGCCTTACATTCCCAAGTTCCTCAGCTTCTGGCTGCCACAGGGGCAGAAAGCAATATTCTTGCCACTCCGAATTCACTTCAGTTAAAATGGAAGGCAGATTTCGAGGTGCGTCTCTGTATGCGTGGAAATCCTCTTCTGAGGATGCTTATGGTCAATGTGGCAATAAGCCTCCAGAGTTTCTGTTGGATCCAAAATGATGCCTCACATTAGAAAAGAGTTGCTAACTTCTTTTCAGAATCAGGAAGACCATGTTATTCTCCCAATATTTTAACAGTTAATTGGTTTTATCCTTGTTTTTATCATCATTATTGGATGCAGTGTGTTATGGGCTGGTTGTTGTGTATGGTTGCTTTGGGTTTTGTGTGTGTGTGTGTGTGTGTTGTTTTGTTTTTTGGTAAGCCATCCAGAGACTTTTAGTATTGGGATGGCATAGAAAAACCATAAATACATACATACATTGGCTTCCTTGTTCCCAAATGCCTCCTATAAGACTTGTTTAACGCTGACTCTTGTCTTCTGGCAGTGACATCTCTGGAAAGGAGCCTGAAGTCTCTTGGAACACCCAACGACACACCAGAACTGCGTGATGGGCTGTGAGTCTCTCTCACGTACCTCTGATACCCTCTTTCCTTCCAGTGTCCTGGTTTGTCCCTCATCTTTCTTTTTGGGTTTGCTACTCTGTTTAACTCTGTGCTAAGTGCGTTATTTTTTGCCATCCGAAGCAGGAATGCCAGCCCCGGTCTCTTCTGCAGAGGGAGGACCTTGTCTCACTTCTTCATGCTCTAGAGATATCTGGGTCGGAGTGATCCAGAGGACTCTGTAGGGCATGGCATGGGGACACAGTTTTGAGTTTTATGGGAGGAGATGTAAGGAGAGTAAATCTAATTCACTGGTCCCCACTGTTACTAGTGGCAGGCTCTTCCTCCCCGTCTCTGTCTAACTGGGTTCGGAAAGGTGTGATTGTTTGGAAAGGTGTGATTGTTCGGACATTGAGAAGCAGTGTGAAGCATGGATGTAAATTGGGCAGGATGCTTTTGTGAAGGAAAGTAGCATACGCATACCTATTCCATACTTTAAAAAGAAATAGAAGCAAAGAATTGGGCTTACAGGAATTGCTTGTGAAAGGTGCCGTCTTCCATCAAGGACCCCCTGCATGGAGCTGGGACCTTAAACTCTGAGCATGTTGATTTTCTTCTATCTTTGCCCTGGGAGTTTCTCCCCAAATGGAAACTACAATGCTCTAAGTTCATTGATGGGTCACAAGTGGTCCTCTCCAAAGATGTTTCCTCCTCATCAAAGAACATCCTCTTGCTTTCCCATTTGCTCATGTAGGAACTCATAGTTCCGCTGACATGTTCACCCACGTTCTCTACCCTGTTCGGTCCATTCCTTTCTGTTTCCCCTTTCCTTATGCCAACCTGAAATAAGAGCATGCTAGTAACAGGCCAAGAGCACACTTTGGTCCCAAAAGTAGTCTTTCAAATACTCGTGGCTTTAGAAAGGTTTTGTTTCTTTATTTCTTCGCAGCCCCTCAAGATGGCACAGATCGTGGCTACTGGGCACATGGCTACCGTTGGGTCTCCAGGCTGAGGCACTGCTTTGAAGGCTTTGTGCCTGAGATATTTGGAGGACGATTCTGTGTGCGCTCGGTGGCCATGCACAGAAGTGCTGTGGTGGTTGAATACAGAGGAAAAGTCTTTTTAGTGGTGGCCCCGCACCTCAGAATGGGGCTTCCCCTGGGTATGCATCAGGCAACTTCTTTGCAGGTTTCCAGGAAGCCCTGAAGGCCCATGTCTGTTTGCTCACCTTTCCCTTGACCATGAGCTGCAGGTCTGACTAGCATTTCCCCTTCTTGTGCTGGTTTCCTTGCATAGTTACTAATGATTTTTCTTTTCCCTTATGTGTGTGACTTAGTTTTGGATCACTTCTATCCTTCCCATGGCTTGAGAGAGGTCTTGCTTTATGGTGCATTGTTTCTGCTCTAAGCACTGATGTGGAAAGGTCAGAGTGGACTTTCTAAGTAATCATTCCTAGTTGGTCTTGAGGGCGTGCAGCTGTCAGTAATACACAAACATTAGAGGGAAGTCATCTAGGAAGTCTCGAGGAAGTATTTATTTATTTAGAACATTTTTATGCTGCCCCATTCACAAAAAGCCTCGGGGCAGCTTACAAAACAAATAATCATGCAATTAACCTTAAAAATCCGGAGACATCTCAGCACAGATATAAAAACCAATAAATACAATCAACAAATTAACAATTAAAATGACGTTTAAATAAAAAGGTCTTGGCCTGGCTCCGAAAAGCAAATAACGACAGCGCCAGGTGGACCTCTCTGGGGAGCGCATTCCATAGGTGGGGCGCCACCGCAGAGAAGGCCCTCCTCCGGGTACTCGCCCTCCTAATATCCTTCACGGAGGGTTCCCGGAGAAGGGCCTCTGCCGCCGATCTCAAGGGGCGGGAGGGCAGATATGGACATACATATATGGAAGTAGTTCGAGTGTTATGGGAGACCCTCCCTCCCGCCCTTCCCATCTTATTTCTTCCCTGCCCTCCTTCCCACCCTCCTTCCCACCGTCCGTCCATCCGTCCTTTTATATCTTGCCATTCTTCCCTTTCAAGAAACTCAGGATGGTTTACCTAATTCTCCTGCTCTCTGTCTTATCCCCAGAACAACAACCCTGTGAGGCAGGTTGGGCTGAGAGGCTGTGACTGGCCCAAAGACTTCCAATAGGCTCTGTGGCTGAACAGGGACTCGAACCCGGATCCCCTGAGCCCCTGGCCTGCACGCTTCACCACTGCGCCGCCCTGGCTGTCAGTGTGGTTGCCTTTTGGGAGAAGTAGGACAAAGACCGCTAGCCACGATGTCTGTGTGTCTCCAGGAGCAGGGGCTGTTTGCCTCAGGATGCCAGCCGCTATGGTCCCAGCAGTGGGGGTGGACTGGCCCTCTTCAGCCCCTCTGTGGGCTTTTCATGGCCATCAGACCGGTTCCTGCAGGAGAGAGGATGCTAAACCAGACAGACAGACTTCTGGCCAGTCCAGCAGGGCTCCTCCTGTCAGCTCGACTAGGTAAACTTGCAGTTTGGGTTTTTCCCAATTCTTCGAAGAGTGAGAAACACTGCTGGAAAGGCACAGCTCCCACAACCTATTCAAGCAAGACCTTGACCAGTGAACACGCAAGGCCAGAAGCTGCACAAGTGTCAACTCCTGCCAGGAGAGTGATGTTGGGTGTTTGCCAACTTGCCAAGGGCAACTTTTCCAGGATGGAGAATCCCTGACACCACCCATTCTTCACTTCCCTCTTCCCTCTTCCAAGTTTTGGTGCCATTCCTCCCTCCCTCCCTCCCTCCCTCCCTCCCTTTCTCCCAAGCTGCTCACCTATTTCTCCTTGAACACCCTCTGGTTTAGAAGGTGTTTACAGAATGATGGGAGAGCATTTGGTAGCTTGATCGCTTTTAGTGTTTACGTTTTTAAGTAGGGCTTTGATTGCACCATAAAACTGTCACATGTTGGAGTCTGTATGCAGCTCTGCTTCGAAGGACATAGCGATGCCCGTGTTAAACAAGGGAAATGAAGAGCAGCAGGGCCTGCAAGACTCGTTTAGGGACTGGTGCTTGCCTGTACAGCCAGAAAAACATAGAAACATAGAAACAGAGCGAGTCAGAAGGGACCTCCCAGGCCATCTAGTCTGACCCTGGCTCCAGCCGGCTCAGTTCACGACATGCCCCCATGTGCATGTCTAGCCTATCTTTGAACACCCGCACCGATGGGGCCTCGACCACCTCCCGGGGAAGCCCTTTCCATACCCTTCCCGGCACTGCTGCTCTCCACTGCTTTGGGTGGTTTTATGCCCAGCTTTGCCTCTGGGTGGGAGAGGGTGATCTTTGCATAGCTAAACTTGGCATGCAAGGTGCATCCTTTCCTAGAGACCATGGACTTCCTGCCCTCATTGCAGCTAGGTTATCATGGTGCCCTGGACCCAATTCCTCTGTCTAGCACCTTGCCACTCACTGACTGTTGGTCTGCTTCCAAGCCAAGGTCAAAGTAGACATTACTACCTTTAAGGCCTAATTTGGGGTGTGCAGAAATAAACATTTAGATGTGGTTGACTACAATTCCCAGCATTTTCACCATTGTCCCTGCTTGCAGGGGCTTCTGGGAGTTGGAGTCCATCACATCTAGAAATTTAGTGTCCTCCCACCCCTGTGTAAATCATGCGGGGTCAAGATACCTAAAGGGCTGCCTCTTCATAATCTTGTCTGTATGGAGGACACTCTGCATCCAATCACTAGCCATGAACCTCTGTCTGATGGTTGGTTGCCTCTGACCAGGAGAGCTGCAGTTCTGTTCCTAGTTAACAACTAAACCAATTTGTGGAACCAATTTACTAGGTGTGACGGAGCAGAACACCTCATGAAGATCATCCAAGTGGGTGGCCAACATGTCTGTAAAATCATCTTACTGATTGTGAGTGATTGTTGTTGTTGTTACTTGTGAAGTCGCGTCCAACCCATCTCAACCTCATGGACAACATTCCTCCAGGCCTTTCCGTCCTCCACCATCCCCTGGAGTTCACTCAAGCTTATGCTGACTGCTTCAGTGACTCCATCTAGCCACCTCATCCTCTGCCATCCCATCCTCCTTGTGCTGTCAATTGTTCCCAGCATTAGGCTCTTCTCCAGGGAGTCCTTCCTTCTCATTAGGTGGCCAAGTACTTGAGTTTCATCTTTAGTATCTGGCCTTCTAAGGAGTAGTCAGGGTTGATCTCCTCCAGGACTGACCGGTTTGATCGCCTTGCGGTCCAAGGGACTCCCAGGAGTCTCCTCCAGCACCACAATTTAAAGGCCTCAATTCTTTGGTGCTCAGCCTTCCTTATAGTTCAGCTTTCACAGCCATACATTGCAACTGGGAAAACCATAACCTACCCACATAATTTGAATTGTTACCAAAGAATAAACCAAAGATGGCGACATACTACACATTACATCAGAGAGCCAGCAGTAAAGTTGATCATGGACAGTTGTTGGAAGATGAAGGTCCTAACCTGGTATCTCCAGATATGCTGCATAGATGCTAAGTGGATACACTTGGAAAAGCTATTCCACAGATACAAAGAATGCTCTTCGGGAGTTTGTGTATGCATGTGCGTGTGTGTTTGTGTGTATGTGAGAGAGAGAGGCTTTTAAGTGTCCACATCTTAAATGGAGGGCAGGACTTTAATAATATTTGACAGAGTTTTGTTATTCTGCCTGTATAAGCCTAATGCGAGCGATCTCCACACACATTTTGAAATGGTGTTTTGAATCTGTTGGTATATTAAATCCTTTCAAGTAATACCTTCCATGTTTAATGTCAAAGCTGTTTGGATTAAGTATTTCTTGTCCCACTGTGTTTATCAGGCCTGAGGTATCAGCTTCAGGGAAGACGTAATTGAGACGGCCGGGACGCGGAAGGCAGTCTTGATGCATTGGGGTGGCGCGGGAACGTGCTGCATGGTGTGCGGAGCTCAGCTTAGCTAACACTGGCCTGTTTTGCAAAAGCACACAATTGCACGCATGGATTCCGGGCTTGCTCTAACTTGCCCTTCCTCCAA